TTCAAGATTTGTTTTTCCTTCAAGAATTGTATTGATTTAGATAACTAGTTAGAATTTTTTTCAAGATTTGTTTTTTCTTCAAAGATTTGTATTGATTTAGATTACTAATTAGAATTTTTTCAAGATTTTTTTTTCCTTCAAGAAATAATTGCACAAAATAAATTTTTTTGTATATTAATTTTGCACAGAATTGCACAAAAAAATGTAGTCAGTGACGGCAATGTTTTTGCACATAATACATTATTTTTGTATATTAACTTTGAGGTCATGTTGCATAATATGATCTTTTTTTTATATATAGATAATCATATATGGATTCGATTTTAGAAGAACAAAGTAATCATGAGACCGCTGATAAAATTGTGAATATGCAACAAATTGTGAAGGGTAAGAAGGGACATAAAAGATCTAATGTGTGGGCTCATTTTAATATAAAGAAAATTGGGACTGTAGAATGTATTTATTATGGACAAGTATATAAGCATTAATCTAAAGGTGGGNGTATATAAGCATCAATTTAAAGGTGGGACTAGTACATTGCAAAATCATATCGAGGATTTGTGCAAGAAGTATCCATATAGGTTTCAAGACAAAAAGCAAAAGACAATGAATTTCTATGGTAATTCTAAAAATGAAGAGGTTTTATATAGTGTTGGTCGTGGTGGACAACTTGTCAAGTTTACTCAGAAAGGGGTGAGAGAACATATTACTAAGTACTTTATATTATCCGAGTTACCTTTTCAATACGTGGAAGATGAATGTTTTTGGTGTCATACAAGGTATCTTTTTCCAACTTTTATTTTCCTTCAAGGATTACAGTTGCTAGGGATATATATAATTTGTTTCTCGATGAGAAGAAGAAATTGAGGAAAGAATTGAGTAAACACCGGGTTTGTTTGACTTGTTGGACATCTATACAAAATGTTAGTTCTTTGTATTTGACTGTTTATTGGGTTGACGATGATTGGAGACTTAAAAACGAATCATAAGTTTCATCCAAGTCCCCAGCCATAAGGGTGATATGGTTGGAAAGGAATTGATATATTGCCTTCAGGATTAGGAATTAATAAGATTTTCTGTGTAACAGTTGATAATGCCTCATCTAATGACGTAGCAATAATGAAATTGGAGAGTGGCTTTCTAGAGAAGAAGAATGGTCTAGTTCTTGGGGGAGAAATGCTTCATATGAGGTATTGTGTTCACATTCTCAATCTTAAAGTTTGTGATGGTATAAAAGAAATTAGCAGTGCTATTTCATCTATCCGCAATGCTGTACGATATGCTGGATCTTCCTTAGCACGACTAAAAAGATTACGAGAGAGCTGCAAGGATGCAAATATTGAGTCTCGAGGTTTATTGTGTTTGGATGTATCAACTAGATGGAATTCCACCTACATTGTAGCGCCCCGAGTTCCGTTAACCCGATTGCCACGTCATCGTCTTCTGTAACTGATT